CAATTGCTCTTGCTGCTTCAGTTTCTATCTCTAGAGTCACAGAATTTATTTGGTGCCCCCATACACCCACACTCAGTGACAGGCACACACAACGACAGAGACACACACTCACACTCACTGACTCAAAGACACAACTTTGCTGCAATCCCCAATGCATACAGGGATTGGGAAAGATAGTGATCTTCTTTTCAGTGGGAATGCTGTGCACATCAGCTGTATAGCTTGAGGATGACTGACAGAAAGATTACAGACACACACTGACAGACATAAACACATGCTTACCGACTGAAAGACACCCACATTCACTGACAGACACACACACTCATTGACATACACACACACTCATTGACATACACACACACTCACTGACATACACACACACTCACTGACAGACACACACACTCACTGACACACACACTGACAGACATACTCTCTGACAGATACACACTCACCGGCAGACACACACTCAATGACAGACATACACAGTGACAGACATACAGACAGTCACACATTCTCACAAATTCATTTATTTTTTGAGGCTCATGCAGCCTCCCTGCCTTTCCCTGGGGTTCATTGTGTGGCTGCAATCTTGCAGTTTCTCACTCCTCCCATCCACTGTTTAATATGCCGGGGTCCGGAATGACATCATATTCCGGCATCTCAGAGGGTGCACAAGGCAGGAGTGAAGAAGTGAATGCTCAACGCTCCACCGCTGCCGCCAGCTGCCTGTTTCCTCTCCCTTCCCCCACCTTCCTCTGGCCTATATCAGCAGAGTAGGCACCTGCCATCCAGGTATGCAGGTGCCTACTCTGCCTTACTGAATTAAGGCCCCTCCTGGACCATCTGTGATAGGGCTCACCTCGGCACTCACCACCTTCGGGTGCCTGGGAGTGCTGCACCTGCTCAGGATTGGCCGTGGTTAGACCAAAAACCGAGGGACAGAGTCTGCAGCCTACTGCTTGAAAATATTGTGACTCAGAAGTGGAGGACAGAGCTCTCAGCTTTCTAGCATCATAACTGCTATTATGGTATGTAGTGCTTATGGTTTTTCTAGTGAGCTTTTAATCAGGTATTTTGTATTTAAAATTAAATAAATATTTTTGCATCACAGTGAAAATAAGTTGATATTTAATTTTTTTTGCCATGGTAAGTGCTATAATTTGTATTCATTTCTATAAAGAGTCATTATATAACACTATATAAAATCATATAACACTGTATATTGTTAAATAACACTATATACCATTATATAACACTATATAACACTAATTACGCAAGAAGAAAATTTGATAGAAATTTTTTTTTAGATCTGTGTCTAGTCACAGGTTAATCTTTGGTGATAAACTGTATTATATTATACCTCTTACACTCATTTGTGGCCAGCTTTCAGTTAATTCCTTATTTAGTGATGCTATTTGAAACAGGATAAATGAAGAAGAGATGGACCTATGGTTAAAAAAAAAACTCTGTTAATTTTAGCTATATTTCTTGTTTTGTTTTTTTTAACTGATTTATTTGTTTTTCAATTCATTTTAGTTTTTAGTTTATGCATAAGATAAAGTGGGGGCCTTAGCAAAGGGTTGGGGCTTAAGCAAAGTTCTATTTCATTTGCCGAACTAGCTTACCCACAATCCAGCAGTCGAAAAAATCTCGCAGAAGGGCGTCTAGATCTAATGCATAAAAGAGAGAATGATAATAAATATAAATAAATGTAAGTAACTAAAGAGGAGCATAATAATTACAAAGGGCATAAAGAGAGAAAAAAACATGACAGGGTCACTTTATGTACTAAATGGACAACGTGATGTAAGCTTCATATGCTTAGAAAAATCCCATTTTCAGATATTGGAACAAAAGCTATATACTATTGATCTACTGATATTTGTATATACATTTTTGTAAGTGATACGGTTTCAGATCTGAGATAGTCGTTTCCATTTACGAAGTGCTGTACCAGCTTGATTCCCGCAATGCTGAGTACTTTACGTAACTTTAGAAGTTACCAAGATTAAACTTGTGACTGGGCACTGACGGCTGAGATTAATTGGAGCAGTGAACTCTGCATTATAAATGAGACAGACGTGGCTTAAAATTAATCACAGACCGTTTTAGAGGAACGCACTAAATTCTGTTGTAAGTGCCTCTATCCAAGTGCGGTGTAGAGTAGAGATAATGAAAATATTTTCTGGATTAAGACAGATCTCATCTAACACTGCTGACAAATATATAACAAATTGCTTGTGCTGAATACATTACGAGAGCAGCCTAAATTAGTAAATTAATGTCTACCTGCGTTGACCCAATCATACGTCTAGGTACAGGTCCTGCTCGGTGGAAAAATCTGTAAACAAACCCATTATACCAAGAAGGTCCTTTACTTACCAGTGCTGCACAATGTTTACACAGTGCTGCACACACAGAGTATAGTTCAATGGACCACAAGAGAAACAGAACAATATACCTTCCTGAAATATTCTCACCAGTAAAAAAATAATAATAAAAAAAAAATCTCTTTATTCAAAATCTTTTTATAATAGTATAAATAGACGTACAGTAGAAAAAAGCCACTAAATCTTCAGAGCTACAGCATACAATCTACGCGTTTCGCATGTAGACACTGTATCTTGATAAAGTGTATCTACACACGAAACGCGTAGATTGTACGCCAGTATGGCAGAGTTTCATGTTTGAAGACCTCTATTTGCCTTATAAAAGGAAGGTATCATTTTAATATTTCTTGCTCGCTGTTGATTTTTATCTTAATCCAGTGGCAGCTGGTGAAGTTTTAAGGTGACGGGGCACCAGAATCCTGCCCCAGAATTTATTTCCTCCCTATACAGTACAGAGATACTAACACAATACACAGAGCTGAGCACAATACAGAGATGCTCATAGAATAAAACAAGTTGGGCACAACCTAAAGATATCTATAAGATGCATAGAGCTGAGCACAGTACAGAGATAACATACCACAAACAAAGGTGAGAAGGAATAGAGATACGATACACAGAGCTGAGCACACTACAAAGATACTTACACAATACACAGAGCTGGATAGACTACATTGATACCCATACAACAGGTAGAGCTGAGTAAAATAGGGGCGACAACACACAGACCTAAATACAATAAAGATATACCATAACTATCCCACACAGCAAGGATCACTGTAATACAGAGCTGCACTACAGGGATCCCCACACAGTGCATGCCTCTGTAAATTGATTTAGCAGATATAAAAAAAATTTGTGCAACAATCAAAATCCCTATGAGCAGTAGAGATGTCGCGTTAGGCGAACATATACGATTTCCGGTCCGCCCCCTATTCGTCATCATTGAGTAAACTTTGACCCGGAACCTCACAGTCAGCAGACACATTCCAGCCAATCAGCAGCAGACCCTCCCTCCCAGGAAGTGTCTGCTGACTGTGAGGTTCCGGGTCAAAGTTTACTCAATGATGACGAATAGGGGGTGGACCGGAAATCGTATATGTTCGCCCAATGCGAACACGCTATTGTTCGCCGGCGGACAGTTCGCGAACAGTTCGGCGAGCAGTTCGCGACATCTCTAATGAGCCGCTGCTGCTGATTTTAATGTATGACCTATGGTGAATATCTCACCTTAAAGAGCGAGAATATACAAATTTTTCCAGAATTCATCTCTCATGCTCAAGAGTCGGCACGGTATGGGGGAACTTGAATTCATTAGAAAGTCTGAGCAAAATCTGTTGTAATTCTTGGTCTGACCATGGCATTTTGATATGGGATGTGAAAGATGTATGTAGCAGAGGTGGTTTTACAATGTGGTGAATAAAGGAGGGATTGTTGCACAATAGAACTACAGTAGAACAAATATTAAAAAAAACATCCAACAGTTCTTTGAAACAAAGGTCCCAAGTGACACCTTCCCTGCAACTAACTGGTGGTCCTTTAAGTCTGTGATAAGGGGTATGTATGATCATGAGAATAAACAGCAATCATTTAAAAACAAGATCAGAAAATGGAGAATCTTTATATACACTAAATAAGGCCACAAAGATATAAACAAGACTAATCAAAAGAGAATACAGATTTAGTTGTAGTACTACAAAATAAAATCTATCAAATACTAATGGAAATAACTGATAAAATTGATCAAAACCAGGACTAAAGCTATGTAGTAAAGGAAATAGAGGGGATTAACTGCTCTTTCAAAAATGAAGACGCAAAAGAGCCTCCAATAAAATATCTAAATTAGTGTATGGGAATGAAATTCACATGATTTCAGATTCAACAGGACAATGCTTCAATTCCTATTGTAGCAACTTATATAATTTACATACCGCAACATCATCGTTAGATGTATTTTGGCATTAATTATTCCAAAATATTGGAGACCCAAAAGAAAAAAGATAAATAATCTTAACTCTAAAACGGAGATCGAAAAAGCAACTTTTAAACTGGATGGATTTGGTTATATTATTTTTACAAAAATTATAAGAATCAGTTAAAAGATCACTCAGTCAATACATGTAACAATGAGCAGGGTGCATTTCATCAAGAAATGTTTCAGGCCAATATTATTCCAATTCTAAAGTTGGGGAGAGATAAAACTAAAGTAGAACGCTATTGGCCCATTTAATTAATTAATGTGAATGTGAAGCTATTTTTTACAATTTTAGCGGACAGAACGAAATGAATATCGAATACTATAATTCATTCGGACCAGACTGGTTTTATCCTTAGGATGAGTCTCCAGCTATAATACGAGAAAGATCATAGGCATTCTGGATGGGGCTACAATAAAAAAATCTAATAATTCCTCTGCTTACAGTTTCATTAGATGGGAAGAAAGCTTTCGACAGCGGTCGGTTGGAGTTTTATGTTTAAAGTATTACAAAGATTTGGCACACACGAATGGATCCATCTGGCATTAATATCTCTATTTGTCAATCCCACAGCACAAACAGTGAGTAAAAAAAAATGGTTTAACTTAAAAATGGGAGGGGGCAGGGCCTGGACATGCGGGTGAAACGGCCGATCACCTGCCCCACACGAAGATGCAACAAGCGTGATCTACCACTCGCCTCATTACCTCCTCCCCCTCTGGACTGGGGCAGATATCCCGGTCCCCACGAAGGACTCTCGCTCTCCAGCATCAAGCAAGGGGCCAATTCAGGACCCACGTGGCACAATCAACATGGCCACTGTCCCAGTGACTCAGCAACCAGCATCAGGCCTGACAACACAGGACTGGCTCATCACATTCAACCAGAGATATGACAACATATGCCAGAAATTCTGGAGCCGGATCCACGACCGAGAACAGAGGCAACCCTCGCAAACAGAACAACGGTCCCGCGACAGCACCGTTGACACATACCCCCCACCCAAACTGGCACATGCACCTACACCTCCTGCAGTGCGGATGAAGGATGCTGAGGCCCTCCACGCCTGCTCTTCCGAGTCGGGGGCTCAAAAGGAGGTATCCCCTCAGGGTATACCTCCGAGAGGGCCACCCGAAACCCAGAAAACCCATGGGCCCACGATCCCGATGAAGGGATCAATGGACACCAGGCAAGGGCTCCCATAAAGGCCTTGGGCCGAAGACATGGAAGACCGAGACCTTGCACACCCATGTCCAGTCGTCAGGAGACAGCAAATGACCCCCACAGACCCGGTAAGCAGACGGGTACGGGGAACACAAGAGCGCTCTACCAAACATGGCGTGGCCTTCCTCAAAGCCTGAGGGGACTGCCACACACAGGGATCGGCTGACAGCCAGGCTTCTCCTGGAGGATGTTGATTCGAGCAACCGAACTTAAGTGACATTTGTAATCAACACCTGTAATGCTTATGTTTTAGTTAGGCCTGTTACCCACTTATATTATTTTATGCACCCCTGTGATATATAGCCTATTTGACACATGCCTGACAGAGTTCTCAGATGGCGCTTATAGATGCTTCCGCCACGTTTCACGAGCCTCAGTGGATCAAGCACTCCCTCTCTCTGCCGCATGCTTAACCATACTTACCTATCAACACTTGCACCCTAGAAAGGGCACATTACACACTTCTTGCACATCACCTACCTTATCTTACACGCAGACATGTGGGTCTCAGCTAATACTATGCTACACTAACCTCCGGCAACCTAACCGCACCCCACAGGCAGGCTACACTACCTAACAGGGAACTGCCAGTTAAAGTCAGCCATTACTACTAAGCTTGTTAATAATCCAATGTTATCCCTGTATGCATATATACAATTGATACTACTATGATGACTGACACACCACTGCTACCTGTGTAAGCATGTTATTTATCCACAACCTGTGTAATCACTCACTGTCACTGTTTAACCTGACATTTAACCTGACCTGATATTTCTTGGACTATCTGGGATTCTATGTTCAGAACTGTGTCCTTCACCCTGACATCTCTCAATGTTTAGCCTGACATTATAATATAAAATTGTGCCATTTCTTCAAATGCCTTGTAAACTACTGCTCAGAACAAGCTTACTGATGCTGTTGTGGCACTGTAAGATAACATGTTATATGTTTTCACATGCACAAGAAAAATAAAGAATTAAAAATAAAAAGACGTAAAAATGGAGCTAGGCAGGGTTGCCTACTACCTCCTATACCAGTGGTTCCCAAATAGCGATTACCAGGGCAATGTTTCCAAAGATCTGCCTCACCGGACCGCTAGCACTGTAATGCTGGCAGTTGGCAGGGGAGGGACGGAGAGAGGACCCGAGGGGAGCTCTAACCTGCAGCTCCGCCGGGTTTGTCTCTCGTGAGTTCAGAGCATTGCTGCGGTTACCACACACTGCCCTCCCATACACTCACACACTGCCACCCCATACAAACACACTGCCACCCCATACAAACACACTGCCACCCCATACACACACACTGCCCCCCCCATACACACACACACTGATCCCCATACATACGCACACTATACCCCTCACACACACTGCCCCTATACACAAACTGCCTCCTCACTCACAAACACTGTACCTTTCACACACTGTCCCTCACACAAACACACTGTACCCCGTACACTCGCACTGCCCACATACACTCTCACTGCCCCATTCATACGCACTGCCCCCCCTCACACGCACTGCCCCCTCACACGCACTGCCCCCTCACACACGCACTGCCCCCTCACACGCACTGTACTCCTCAATAAACACACTGTACTCCTCAATACACACACTGTACTCCTCAATACAGTGCTGTAGTGGTTATTATGCCTGTATTGTTTCTTTAAATAATCTACCAGTGACAATCCCGAGATTAGGTTATGGGTTCGCCCCTGACAGGGAAATATTTCTGCTGAACAGGGGCCCAGTATATGCCACAGCGCTGTGCATGTATACAACCTAGAAATTATTTTGACTTGGGGCACCTGGTAAAAATATAGAAATATTAAGGGTGCCTTAAACCTAAAAAGTCTGGGAACTACTGTCCTATACTATTAATTAATAATTTATTATAATTAATAATCTCAGTGGAACGCCTGGCCTTGATACTTCCAAAATGGCTCATTTATTCTCTCTCCGTTGGGCTCTGTAACTTCTGGTACTATCAGCCAAGGATAGCCCCTGAACAGAGAGGCCAATAGCATATGTCCTCTTATGGGCATCTAGCTCTGCTGCTGGAATGGCAACTCAATGGAGATTCCTAAAAATAATTCTTAAAGGAGACCAGGCATGTACAAAACTGCAGATTCCAAACCTGACCCATTTTTTTAACATGTCTACATGTGTTCAAGTAAGCGTCTCCACACAGCTACCAATGTTGAGGTAGGGGCCATGCAGAACTGAAACCTATTACAGAATTAAAAAGACACACTTTTCCTCATATTTTTTGGCTTCCCACCCTCTTCTCCAGAAAACAAATCTCAGTTTTTCTTTACTACTGCAAACTAATCTTGTTGGTGGGGCAATGCCAAACTGGTGGGAATATGCCCCAAGTGCCCATATGAGCTGGCACTGGTTTTAATTGACAAGTAAGCTAGGAATTCAATAAAGAACAATGTACACATTCCTGGTTTATTATGTGACTCCCCCATACTCCATCATCAGTGCAAGGTATTCAACAGTGGAAACAATGTGATATAGAATTACTATAATATGAATAATGAAGAACATCTCATTTACTAGGCTGAATCAAGTTGGTTTTATGTGGAATCCCGGTGGATTTTCTGTAATTATTTGCTTAAGGTTATGTAGATTTTGCCTTGATTTTGTGTGGACACCTGTTTGTATGCATATTTCTCCATAATTTTTTTTGTGGTTTTGCTTGTTTTCTGTGAACGGCTGTTTGTATTTCACATAGTTAAACAGGTCACTAATTTTATTTATGGGTGAAATTCGGTATAAAACAAAATTTTTTTACCAGTTCTAGATCTTACAAAGGGTGGGTTTCACATCCTATGTTTGTAGGTTTTGAAAGACACACAAAAACATACTAATCAGGTCTTATGGTAATAATTTTTTTTATGGCTCCATTGATATGGTATTTATAAATTACACAAGGGGACTGGGGGACCTCCGAATGCTGAATATTGATGTCCCCTTTCTGGTCATTTTATGTACACTACTTCTTCTGCTTTGACATGTGAATAGAGGTTTGCATTAAACTGTAAACATCTAGCTCGGAGCCTTTTAATAATACATGCACTATGATTATGCTTGTTGGATGAAATAAAAGCACTGAGCTTCAGTTATGCTTGTAGGAGGACTGGGGGGATATCTGTCTACTGTCTACAGTTTTCAGAAGTGTGTTATCCTGTCCCTGGGTTATGTTATTAAATCCTACACATTTAAATTTAGGCATATAATACAACAACAAAAAGCATTACATTTCCTTCGACCAGACATATTGTTTATAGACCTAATGGATACTAGGAAAAATGTTGATTTATACATTATATTTGTTTCATCTTATCATTGATTCTTTTCGGAATGTTTCAGCAACAGAATTCGATAATGGCATTTCCCAAGCCATGAATATTTATAGGTCTTTAGTGACCACTGAATTAGCAACATCCCTTTCTTAACGCAGACAGCCATCAATTAAACCTTGTGGATGCAATGCTATCTATATATATATATATAATAATCAGGCATTAGAATGGGGGAGTTGCTTGACTGAAGTGATTTTGACATTGTATTAATTAACAAACATACCTTGGTTGTCTTTTTTTAATTGTACAGGGAACAACAAAATCCACCTTTAGTATTGAAATTTTGTGAGGGTTCATAGACCATGGTGTGTTTTGAGATGAATGTAAATTCACCAAATATTAGGAGAGTCATTCATTTACCCGAAAGATGAAAAATACAAGGGCAGCCAAAAAAACAGCAATTCATAATGTAAAGGCCCTATTTTGTGGCCAAGGAATGGAGCAAGAGATCATGTAGCCTTCTCCCTCGTAATGTTCTGGGGGACATTTGGCCAGGTTCCTCTCAATTGTAAGCAAGGTCTCATCTCACAGTGGGTGAGACGTGAGTAGAAAACAGTGGGGAGCTCTGTTTGGTTTTCGTTTTTCAAAAGTTTGTTAATAAACTAAATTCCGCTTCAAAGTGAATTTATTTAACAATATAACTTGTGTTAATGTCTGATGGTTTACATTAGGGTTGGGCAAACTGGATTATGCAGATATTGAAGAGTTGCAGTTTCCATAACACTCCACCATTCTAAATGCTGGCAAAGCATCATGGCAGTTGATATTCTCTAGAACATCTGAGGTTCTACTGTTTGCCCAGCCCTTGTTTACATTAACAGGAGACAATACCATATAACAGTAAGAACTGAGCTGAGGCTACATTAGACGTGCAATCTCCAGAACTGCAAGACATATTGCTGAAACATATCAAATTATAATTTATTCTGATATACAAATATGGTAAGGTCAGAGTTTGATGAATCATCTCAAGGCATCATCTCAAGTAGCAGGTTTTAAATCTGCAGATACGTAATCATGTTATTGAGTTGATTAAAATCTTTAAAGAATATTTCTATTACCTTCATTGTGCAAACAATTTAGATTGATATCATACATGGTATTAGATAGGTGTAGCAGGCACTGAGACATTTATCTCATGAACAGGTATACCTATAGATACATATGCTTGTTACATAGAGGTGTACCTATAGGTATTGTTCTTCCTCATGTACAAGTGTTTCTAAAGACATTTTTCTTTGTAGCAGTGATGCCTATTGCATTTTTGTTTAATATTTTGCAGGTGGTCCTCTTTTTGC